AGTCATTGTAATATATTCCCTTTCCCCCACTTTGAGTCTGGCGTGTTTTGTCTGAAAAAAACCCATCTCACATTAGGTTGAGATGTGGGAGGGGGAATGGAGCTAGGGAATTAGATTTTGGGGCTATCTCAAACCATGACACCATGCTAAAGTAGGTCTAGGAAATTATAAAAAGAGGGATGAGAATTAGCAATGAGAACAGTTGCATCAGGGGATACAATCTCTTCTATCTGCAGTAGATACTACAGCATGTAAGAGTGCTGAGAGAGTCCAGTGTTTTAATTTCTATTCATTTTGGAAACAAGTTCACCGTTCTACTTTTTTTTCAAAGCACTTATTTTTGCTGGCAGCAAGTTCTTCAGGTGCCAGACTCTAATGTTTGCATGGAGTTTTTTAGATAAGGGTTTTGATTCATAAAAGCTTTGCTACATGAGAGAAGGGGCTGATGGTTTATCCTACCCACCTATCCCAGAGGATCCATGATCAATCTGTACTTTTTGTAGATGGCTCTCAAAGTCAAAAAATACTACACAGAGTTGTGTCAGGGACATAAATCAATCAGAGCACAGAGGACATTCCCTTGGAAATAAGGGAATGCAGTTTGGGCAGCACAGTTGTTTGTGTGACTTGGTGGGTATTGGCGTCACAGACAGGATCTCCCTTGAAGCAAAACTGTTTATTCCAAAACATGATAATTGCTAATTTTTATGATCAATCATTCTGTGATAAGACAATTAGAGTAAGGTACCTTCCTTCCTTTCTTTTTTTTGACTTTATGACTGTGTGACTTAAGGACTTTTGACTTTACAAGTTATTTTTCAGGGTTTTTTCGTTTTGTTTTGTTTTTGAAGTTAATGCACACATTGTAACTTAGTGCTTTCTGGGGAGAAAGGGGTGAAATTTTGGAAATTAACTTTTACAAGGGGCCCCCCAGATAAGCTCACTCTGGTTTTGCTGTAACGTAACTTTTAAGAGGGGCTCTCTGGAGAAGATCAATCCAAACTTGTATGGTAACTTTTTAAGAGGTAACTCTCCAGAGGAAGGAGCGAGACTTTGGGAAATTTGCTGTAACTTTTAAGAGGGGCTCTCTGGAGAAGATCACTCCGAATTTGTGGTAACATGGAACATAATGTGCAAGCGCTTACTAATCTATTAGATGAATTTGGTGCCAGGCCATCTCTTCCGGGAATGGAATGGGAACAAGATAATTGGTGTAATATTCAAGCAATTGTTGATTGAATCTCTACCCTGCGGGCAGGGGCGAGAAAAGGTAAAGGAAAACCTATCATTTGTTCAATATTA